CCTCACCCCCATCCCAGGCCCCAAGAAGACTTTCCACATCAAGCAGATGTTCACCTGCACATCTGCCAATGTGGTATACTGCATCCGCTGTTCCCGTTGTGGCCTCCTCTACATCGGGGAAACCAAGCGGAGGCTTGGGGACCGCTTTGCAGAACACCTACGCTCGGTTCGCACTAAACAACTGCACCTCCCAGTCGCGAACCATTTCAACTCCCCCTCCCATTCCGCAGACGACATGTCCATCCTGGGCCTCCTGCAGTGCCACAACGATGCTATCCGAAGGTTGCAGGAACAGCAACTCATATTCCGCTTGGGAACCCTGCAGCCCAATGGTATCAATGTGTACTTCACAAGCTTCAAAATCTCCCCTCCCCCTACCGCATCCCAAAACCAGCCCAGCTCATCCCCGTCTCCCTAACCTGTCCTTCCTCCCACCTATCCCCTCCTTCCACCTCAAGCCCCACCCCCATCTCCTACCTACTAACCTCATCCTGCCCCCTTGACCTGTCCGTCCTCCCTGTACTGACCTATCCCCTCCCTAACTCCCCACCTACACTCACCTTTACTGGCTCCATCTCCGCCTCTTTGACCTGTCTGTCTCCTCTCCACCTACCTTCTCCTCCATCCATCTTCTATCCGCCTCCCACTCTCTCCCTATTTATTTCAGAAGCCCCGTCCCCTCCCCCATTTCTGAAGAAGGGTCTAGGCCCGAAACGTCAGCCTTCCTGCTCCTCTGATGCTGCTTGGCCTGCTGCGTTCATCCAGCTCTACACCTTGTTATCTCAGTAATGGTGGAGGGTTGCTTTTCGGACTGGAGGCCTGTGAGCAGTGGTATTCCGCAGGGATTGGTTCTGGGTCCCCTTTTGTTCACCATTTATATAAATGATTTGGAAGGCATGGTTAGTAAGTTTGCAGATGACACCAAATTGTAGGCAATGAAGAAGATTTTCTAAGATTACAAACGGATTTTGATCGAATGGGTCAATGGGCTGAAAAATGGCAAATGGAGTTCAATCTGGATAAATGCGAGGTATTGCATTTTGGTACAACTAACAAGAGTAGAGCTTATACAATAAATGATAGGGCCTTGGGTGAGTGTTGTAGAACAGATGGATGTAGGGGTGCAGGTATATAATTCTTTGAAGTTTGCATCACATATTAGACAGGATGGTTAAAAAGGCGTTTGACACACTTGCCTTCATTGCTCTGTCCTTTGAGAATAGGAGTTGGGAAGTCATGTTGAGGTTGTACAGGATATTGGTGAGACATCTTCTGGAATACTGTGTCCAGTTCTGGTTGCCCAGTTATAAGAAGGATATTATTAATCTGGAGAGGTTCAGAAGAGATTTACCAGGACGTTGCCGGTATGGAAGGTTTGAGTTGTAAAGAAAGGCTGGATAGGCTGGGCCTTCTTTCACTGGAGCGTAGGAGGTTGACAGGTGACCTGAAAGAAGTTTATAAAATAATGAGGTATAGGTATAGTTAATGGTAGTTGTCTTTTCCCTGGGATGGGCAGTTTCAAGACTAAGGGGCACATATTTAAGGTGAGAGGAGAGAGATTTAAAAAAGACATGAGGCAAATTTTTTACACAGAGGGTGGTTCATGTGTGGAATGAACTTCCTGAGGAAGTGGTAGATGTGGGTACAATTATAACATTTAAAAGACATCTGGCTAGATGCAGGAATAGGAAAAGTTTGGAGAGATATGGGCCAGGAGCAGGCAGGTGGGACTAGTTTAGTTTGGGATTATGTTTGGCATGGACTGATTGGAACGAAGGATCTGTTTCCATGCTGTATGACTCTATGACAGGGTAGGTAAAGACAAAAGTCTTTCCCTGGGTGGAGCTTTGAGAACTGGGGGTGTAGTCTGATATTGTAGCACTCCCTCAGTACTGCATTGGGAATGTTAGCTTACACTAGATGCTGAGCTGGTACTTAAATCCCACTGCCTGCTAACCCAGAGACTCTAAGAGAGTCAAAGAAGAGATATGAGAACAGATGTCTTCATATTTGGTCAAAGTGGTAGGATTTAAGTGGAAGGGTAGGGGGGATTGAGATGGGAATTCCCAAACTTGGGGTTTAGATAACTGAAGGTACAGCTACAAATGTTGGGGAGAAGTAAATTAAGAATGGGCAAGAAACCAGAATTAGAGCAACACAAATATTGAGATTTGTCAACCTGGAGGACATGGAACAAGGCAGAGAAGGGAACTAACCAAGGAAGAGAGTTTTAGAATCAGCTTAGATTATGCAGTGTAGTATGAAGTGTGACCTTCTGTGTAAATGGCAACGAATATTGGAAAGACAGTGGTTTCTCTCAATATAAATGAGCTGTGCATAACTGGTTATTAAGCAGAGTATTTATAACTGGGTAGCGTCATATTTCCACTGCTTTGAACTTTTGTTTTCTCTCTAGGGCCAGATGTTTAACATTCAATAATACACTGTAAGATGCTTAAAACTGTTCAAAGCCTGAATGCATTGATCATTCATAAAGTATGTGACCTTTTCATCAGAAAACAAGGCAAAGGATCAAGATTAGGCCATTTGTACCATCAAGCCTGCTCCTCTGTTAAGTACAATCATGGCCAATCCAGGGCTCCTACCCATGCCCTAAACAGCCCGTGATTCTATGAGAAATTAAATATCTGCCGATCTCAGTCTTAAATATATTCAACAATGGAGCATTTGGGAACCTTCTGGGATACAGAATTTTAATGATTCCTTTCAGTGAAGACATTTCACTTCCTCTCAGTCCTAAATGGATTGTCCCTCTTCTTGTTCATCCTTGAAAGAGCAGGCTTGTGTTCAGTGGGATTGGTCTGTGCTCTTGCTTTGTGATCATTTCCAGATCAGATGTGCTCTGACTCTGGTCGGCACTTGATGCTATGGGAGACCAGAGGTCAGCACTGAAGGTCAGGAGTAGGGAGGAACAGAGAGAACAGAGTGTGGGGTGTTGTAACCCATGAGGAAAGGTAAGCTATGTAGAGGGGTGGTGGGTGGATAGTAGATTATCGCATTGATTCAAAATGGCTTAACAAGATTTCTGGGGCAAGATTGTTCTCGTTGTATTCATTCTTGTTGTCCCTTAGCATTGTTTCTGACAGCCATGATGCTTTTCTTCATTCTACAGCGTGAATGTATCTCCATCCATGTTGGCCAGGCTGGTGTCCAGATGGGCAATGCCTGCTGGGAGCTGTACTGTTTGGAGCATGGGATCCAGCCCGATGGGCAGATGACAGGCGACAAGTCTTGTGGGGTTGTGGATGACTCCTATACAACATTCTTCAGTCATACAGGATCTGGCAAACACGTACCCAGGGCTGTGTTTGTGGATCTGGAACCCACTGTGATTGGTTTGTATTGGCTTTTGATCCTTGTTAGAATTAGCATTAGATTTTATTGTCACACGTACTCAAGTGTAGGAATACAGTGAAAAGTGTACAAAGTCGCCATTCTCCCGGGCTGTCTTGGTTGCAAAACCAGAATTTAAAAAAAAAAAAACGACGGCAGAAATAAATGAAAGCCAAAAGGTAAGAAAAACATCCACATCTTAAAGTCTAAGTCACATCTCCATAAAGGTGTTTGGAAACACCAATGCAGACACCCGGGCCTAGCTGTGCCCTGGCGTTGGGCTGGGCCGGGCCCGGAGTCTTAGTCAGCCTGCGAGTCTCACATGCATAGCCTTTCCAGGTGTTCAAATTGCTTCCGGATCTTTGCTGCTATCATGCCTGAACCTGTCACCAGGAGCAGACTTGCTCCAGATATAACCTGGCTCTGAGCTGAAGAGACTGGGACAACCCCCCATTTAGTAAAGAGAAGGGTTGAGCAATGACCAGGAGAGAGAGCTCTTTAAAATTATGAAGCAGCTCAACAGGATGGAAATAGAGTTTCTGCTTGTGGCAGAGTGTAAAACACATGGCCATAAATAAAAGACTGTCAGTAATGAACCCACTAGGGCATTCGGGAGAAAACTCTTTACCCAGAAATGTTTTGAACACAGAAGCTCCTACTACATGGAGTAACAAAGACCAATGGGATAATTTAAGGGGAAGCCGAATAAATACATAAGACTAGAGGGATATGTTGGATGGAGAAGGATGTGAAGAGACTCACCTGGAGTGTGTAAGCATCTGAACAGACCGGTGAGGCTGAAAGGCCCACATGGTATTGTAAACTGTAGGTAATTCCACATTAATTCATTACTTTGAGTTATACGGAGTTCTTTGGACCATCTCCCCAAGGAAACAAAAAGCAATTCCCAAAAGCCATTAATATTTCTTCACCTTTTGACTACTGTCTTCAGCGAATAGTTATCCTGTACCTTTCTCAAGGTATAACCTGGCCCCAGATCAACTGGTTACACTATGGGTTGATTCCTCATTCTGGGACCTGCTGTGTGTGGGGACAGGAAATAATTACTTCAATCCTCTAAATTTGTTCAAGTACATAAATACCTGGCCGTCTTTGTAACTCATCCTCAGGATATAGGCCAGACTGGGTTAAGTTTGACTGGTGTTCTCTCTCTAAAGGGCTGTAGGAAATCATTTGTGTTTCACAAGCACCAGTGCAATGGTCAGTTATAGTGACAGAGTGTTTCATTTCTACGTTTAAAACTGTTCAAACTTCTCCAGCCCGGAGAACAGTCAGAGTGGGTACTGATGCTCATCTGAGGAGCTGGTGCAGACATGATGGGCTGAATGGCCTCCTTCTACACCGTAACAAATCTGTGAAAATCTCTGGATTTACAAGTTATGTAACATAATCCCAACCTCATGCCAATGTCAGTTATCTAGCCCAATATTCATTATCCAAGTTAAATCATTTATTTTTGTCAGAAGTCACACAACACCAGGTTACAGTCCAACAGGTTTATTTAAAATCACAAGCTTTCGAAGCACTGCTCCTTTGTCAGGTGAGGTGATTTTGTTCACCCCAGTCCAATACCGGCATCTCCACATCATGGGTTTATGTCAATCTTTTCTGTTTGTGTTTATTTGCAGACTCCTGTTGTTCCCTTTCACTATTTTTTGCCCCAGTGCAAAAGCGTTTAACTCTTCAAAGTTTATTATACATCCTATTGGTTTGTAAACTGACCTCCATCTGCTGTTCTGATTCCAGATGAAATCCGTACTGGTACCTATCGCCAGCTGTATCACCCTGAGCAGCTCATCACCGGGAAGGAAGATGCTGCCAATAACTATGCCCGTGGGCACTATACCATTGGCAAGGAGCTGATTGACTCTGTCTTGGACAGAATCCGTAAGCTGGTGAGTGGGCACTTCCAACAAGTTTGCCAGTAGGCTCCAATTACAGTTTGTATCTGATGGATTGTTCCTGCTTTGTTTCACAGGCTGACCAATGCACGGGTCTCCAGGGCTTCCTGGTGTTCCACAGCTTCGGTGGAGGCACAGGCTCTGGATTCACATCCCTGCTGATGGAACGTCTCTCTGTTGACTTTGGAAAGAAGTCCAAGCTGGAGTTTTCCATCTACCCAGCTCCTCAGGTCTCCACAGCTGTGGTTGAACCTTACAACTCTATCCTGACGACACACACCACTCTCGAACACTCAGACTGTGCCTTCATGGTAGATAATGAAGCCATCTATGATATCTGCCGCAGAAACCTGGACATTGAACGCCCAACCTACACCAATTTGAATCGGCTCATTAGCCAGATTGTGTCCTCCATCACAGCCTCCCTTCGCTTTGATGGCGCTTTGAATGTTGACTTGACAGAGTTTCAGACCAATTTAGTTCCCTATCCACGTATCCATTTCCCTCTGGCTACCTATGCCCCAGTCATCTC